GTAATTTGTACTACTTTGCTTCTGCCAGATCCCCACCATGGGGACCAAACTGGGTCTAATTTATCTTGTTGATGGATAACATTCATCACAAGTAAAAATTGAAGCTTTAGAGTTGCAGAGAGTCAGAGACAGCTTAGGCATCTGCAATCTCAATATGATATGCTCACTGGGCAAGCTTTAGAATTGATTAAAGGAAGAAGAGCACGAGTTGCAGCAATGTCTGTTGTCAATGGACACTATACTAAAATAGATGATAGCCTTTCAACAAGGAATTTGGAGGTACACAGAACTATATCGATGAGAAGATGTACCTGCATAAGTAGCATTTTTACTCTGCTTACATGTCCAATATTGCGATGTCTCCATTTGGATTTTTAGCGAGCACTCTAGCCTTTCGGGCTTGAAATTTGAGTCGAGGACAAATGTTTGTGGCCATGATGACCAGGAAAAATCTGGAATCATCAAACTGCATTTCATTGCTTGATAAGGATGGAAAACTCTCCTTTGTTTATTTGATTGGTGAATGCACACACACACACACACACACACTTGTCTTAACTGAGGCTTGGACAGTGCACCTCACCTTTTGGTAGTAGCAAGAGATACCACTCAAGCTAAAGCTGGTGGTGATCACCTGATTTTTTAACTTAATTATGCTCATACTAAATTACAGATACTGATACTGCTCATTAAAAAGACGTAATACAGGCCATGTTTACTTGATAAGTTTACCTTAAATGTAATTGTCTTACTAGTTGAATGATGATTTCCTTCTTTAGAGTTTAGTACACTTTTTTCATTTTATTTCTTTCGTATTTACTATATTTACTATGGTTAGTCATCTAAAGCAGTCTTTACCTATGTTCTAGATTCTTAAAAATTCCCAGATTCTTGGCGTTGTGATATTGTTCTCTCTTTGTACTTATTGTCAATCCCACTTTTTCCAGACTGTTGACCTTGGTTGGCAGCTGGCTCAGCTACAAGACACATGCATCTTGCAAGGTATTTTATGTTTAGTTTCTTCCTTTTCTTCCTCTTTCAGTAATGTTTGAACTTCTTTTTCACTGCCCCTGCTAGTGATATTAAATGTTTTATTTTTAATATATAGCTGACTATGATATAAAGGTCATGCGACAAAAACACTACATCAATCAGCAAAAAAAAAAAGGTATGGTTAGCTACATTACAATGTTTTATTTGTCAGATACTCTGATTTGTTTAATATTCCTTATTTTGAGAGATGTTGGGAAAAGCGAGTCTTGGCTTGGAAACTTATCGACGCTTCTTGCTATTTTGGATTTATTCGAGGATAGGCTGTTATTTGGTTAAGGTAACTTAACTACTAGCTAGATGAAATTGGGGGTAAAGAGTGTGCTTATATGTTTTACAAGGCAAGCCAACAAACCATACATATCTATCATAATTAATCTATCATATCTATCCAATTCTTACACAATCTCCATCAGAGGGCTATAATAATGTTAGTCCTAGTTTATATTTCATCATGCTTAAAATATTTTTGTTTGTTAGTGGGACTGTTTAGCTTCCCCAAGGCCCAATAGGGAGGAAAAAACTTATGCATTAGTCAGATCTTAAACCTGGACTAAGAAATCAACAATCAGGACCTTTTAAGTGTTGAAGCAGTTCAAGTATCCAATTCAAATTTCAATATGCAGGTTATACTCAGTATTTCAGAAGAAGTAGTTTCTAATGATAAATATTATTATTTTTTGGGTTTTCGCTTCTTGCAATTTGCAAATATTGTTTGCAACATGTGAAATGTCTCCAGAATTTGATGTTTTGAACAAAACTATTGTAAATAGATTGGCATCATTCATTTTGCCTACCATTAGCACCTTTGCTGCACTGCTTACGTGTCGTAAGAGTTGATCAACTCAAATCATTTAATATATTCGTGTCTTTTAGGTTATTTCCCATCTTCATTTTCTGATTCCCTTTTTTCTTCCAATAATTTGTGGCAATTCGTAGATCATCTGATTAATCAGTTTGTAAGACATCAGTCTGAAAATATCGTGTTAGTTGGCAAAGGAAATGATGCTTGGAGCATATTCATTGCTTAAAGTTGCTGAGTCAAGTTTGCAAGGATACTTGTCAGCAACCAAAGGTCGAATGGTATGTAAGCATTGTTGAAACTTCTGTAATGGGTTTTGTTTAATGTCTGACTTTCTGTGGTTCTGTACATATTATAAATAATTTTATAGTCGCTTCGTGGTATTGATTCAAGTTGATGATCGGGATACTTTTCTGCATGGGGTTCGAGAATCGAGACCTTTTAAGTATTCATTCAAGTAATGACTGATTTTTTGACAATAACCATAATGCTCTCTTGGAGACTGATTAAATTTTCCATAAATAATGAGTGGATTCAAGTAATGATTTACACTTTTATTGTTTCCTTGGATGCTCAAGCTGGTTTATGAACGTATGTATCGGCACTGGTTAGCACTTGTGTCTCGTGTGAGAAAAACTAGAAGAAGAAGAAACAAGTTAAATTTTCTGTTTGAAAACACTATTCAATGAAGAAATGTCTAAAAGGTCCGGTTGAGAGAATATGCAGGATTATATATGCTTAGAGAAAGAAAGTATTTGATTGACATCGGTGGAATAGATTGTCAAGTTTTTTTGAGTCCTACTATTTTCAGAATCTCGTGATGTCGTTTGACTAGAAGACTTCTGGGATTTCCATAGACTTGCATTCAGTGACCTTCACTGGGAATGTTTCTGCAATGGTCTTCCTTTCTGCAAATCCTATACTTAAAAGCATAGCAAGTCCTTCGTGTATTCCTTTTTTGATCATTAATTAGGTGCACTCTTGGTCAAAATTTGCAGCAACTCTTATTCGCGTGGACAACAACTGCTCCACCTATACTGACCCCTCGAGTATACAGTTTACCATTATGCTCTTGTATTTCAGTTCACCGATATACAAATGCTTGATCCTTTATTCTGTTGTTTAAATTCTGTTGGCAGTTATCACATAACAGAAGTTGAGGTGTAACACGATTTAGGCATTTGATTTTAGTATTTTATTGGGATCCTTGAGTGGTGTCTAGTTATAATGTTGAGGGTGGGGCCACTATTTAAAATTAAGAAATCATCAAACATCTTCAGACTACTTGTAAAGAATTTGACCGACATAAAAAAGATTGTTCATTTTTTAGGTTTTTATGTTTTATATCTGGGGAGGAAGTCATGCTGTTATCGCTTGCACATGTCTACTTTGGATTTCTCCAAACTACTACTACTCTCTCTTATTCTATCTTGGTCTGGGGGATGAATATTATTAACACTACTCTTGCCACTGTCAGTTACTCTCTATTGGAGTTGAGGACAGGGGGAAGAGAACATTGACAAAGTTGATTGGCCCACTTTTAATGGCGTATTTCTTTCTATAAGGTGGCAAATGCTCATCTTAACCAAATAATGATATTTTTTTTTCTTTTTGTATCCGTTTGGTCTATGTGCTGCTAAATATACCATTTATATGAAAAAGACTGATGCAGAGAACTTTGTGCTTCTGTCGATTGATCATCCACATTTTGTCATGAGTTACATGCATTATGTCATTGGAAATATACATGTTTTTTTATGGGATGTTAATCGGGCCTGTGTTATCGTGGTCTTTGTGTCAAAAAATAGCATATTTGTTTAACTGTGTCACATTACTTAACACTAACCCGACATACTTTTTAATCGTGCCAAGTTAGTCGAACACAAACAATGATTCTGACATCTGAGATTAGAATCTCCATTTCTTCAAGTAAATCAGTTAACTCTAGATCTTTTACAACGAAAAAATTCACTAACACTTGATATTGGCAAAACTATGTATAATATTTCTCATTCTACAAAAATTCGTGTAATATCAAACCAAGCAAAGAAAAAACGAAGAAACATGAAAAATATCAAGTTTTTCCTTCATACTATACTATGGTACTATTTTTCATGTTGCAATTAGATATTTTTGTTTAATGGAGAGAGGGGAGGAAGGATTATTTGATTAGTTGGTGAAAATATATTAGGTATGCGAATCTCATTGCGTGTGTTATTGGTACTGCGACTTTTTATTTCCGAAAAAGATGCTAACTCAGCCTAACAAACAGTAAAAAGAAACCCAAAGCTGCGTCATGTGATAACGAGAAGCAGAAGATGGCATGCCTGCGGCTCTAAAAAGCATATACATTTGACCAGGTTCCTTTTTTTCACTATCAATTCACCACCTTTCTTTCCTCTGCATGCCTGGTCTCCCCGTGAAGGAAAGAACAGGAAAATTTCTTTTTGTCAGGAAAAAATTAGGTAGTTCTGAAGATTCACGAGAAAAACAAGAACGAGTCTCCTTTTTTAAAGGACTTACAGAGTCTTGATCAGGTTCACTTTTAGTTGATGCTAGAATATTTATTGTACATTGGTGGAAATGGTCTAATTGTTGAGATGAACTCTTTTTTTTTTTTTTGGGGGGGGGGGGGGGTGGAACCTTTCTTATGTTAAGATATACCTACCAAGTAGAATTCATAATCTGTGCAAAAGGTATTTGAGTAATTAATAAAAAGTTTAGGAGCAATAATTTTGAGTTGGGACTAGAGCAGTGACTTATTTGGTGCTATCTAACACGCTTATTCCTCCTTGGTCATAGCTGTTGGCTGAATCTTACATCCGAGCAATTGGTCACCAATCCCACTTTTCTCATACAATAGAGCTACATGATTTAAGTTGCTTACAGTACCAAACCAGTAATCTGTGCAAAAAAGTTTGTTTATTATGAATCATGGAGTTTATAGAATTGTAGTGCCAGTGTTGTGTTAGCTTTAGAGGGCAGAAGTGGAATTGCACCATTATTGTAGCATGTAGAAGCCTTCACTGTTATGCAAATTTTTCTAGCCCAATTTCTCACACTTTTTCCCTCTCTATAATGCATTGGAGAAAACCCCAAAAAGAGTAGATAGGATATGGAAACAAACAGTCAGCAAGAAGACTCATTGTCATTATCATCTGATAATTTTTGAATTATCTTCTTGGGCCAACAATCAATTTGGCATTTTCACAGGAAGTCTTAAAAGTACATTAACACCATTTATACACTAGTAATAATATGTCTATTCTTCTCATTTTCTCTGTATTCTTCTCATTTTCCAGGTAAGTAGGTAGTCCTATGAGCCTCAGTCAAGTGAAGGCAAGTTGGCATCAGGCAGCTCGAGAAGAAGCCCCATAACCTCTTCTTCAAACAAATCAACAACAACAAAAAAAAATATATATTATAAGGAATCCAGATGAAAACGGAAAAGCTTAAATTTAGCATTTTTGCTGAAGTTGTCTGAATATATTTCAGTTAAGAGACAGAGAGGGCTACCTTTCTGGGCTTTGCATGGAGGAGTTCTGGTGAGATCCTATACAAATCTTCTTCAACGGTTTTGGATGCAGGAGACTCTGGCACGGGGCTTGGTGGTTCTTTCACATCATAGTCACAGTTGCACACTACCCAAGCCTCTTTTTTCGCCTCTTTCACTTGTGGGTATCGAGCTTTTGCCTGTAGTTATCATCACCGCCACTGTCAATTGACGTGTATTGTTTCACTAATCATGTTTCTTTTGCACTTGTGGTTACTAAGGAATGATTCATACACTAAAAGGACATTTTATCAGAGCGCCTCTTGCGAGACTGGAATAGAAAGATCTCAAGATGGTGGATGAGCCCCATGATTTTGGCAGGTATGTATAGTGAACTCAAATTTTATGTCAACCCCCCCCAAAACAAAAAAAAAACCCATGCTTTGAATCTCTACTTAGTATGAACCCACACATTTTGTCACTCGATACTTGAGTAGATTATGGGACTCGGGGCTTGGAAACTCATTTGAGTCCCGCCGTCTTTATTTTTCTGTACACCTAAAGAAAATGATGTATGCCTTACCCTTCGACGAGGAAGGACGATAATGGCCGGAGTCACCACATCATTTTGGTACATATCGCCGTCGATGTCCAAATCCCGATCTTCAGAGGAACTGTGGCGATGTAACCCGGCCTGTCTTGCCGATTCAAAGCACCGAGTGAAAGGGAGGTCATCGGAGCTATCCCAGCTACCGAAAGGTGGAATGTGACTTGTTTTAAAGTTAAAGTCCTGCCCAAAAACCATTAACAAAATTAAGCTCAATGCTGAAATACAAAAGGTGTAGATAATTGTAGAAAACATGGCCCAAGTAAAGAGAAACGGTGCTTACATCCATAGGACTTGGAGTTTCAACGGAGGAGTTTTAGAATCTTACTGGAGATTGACCTCTGAGGTTCAAAGAGTTCAAAAATAAGTTTCTTTCTTAGTTCCTTTCCATTGTGTGAGCATGGATGGCTTTAAAAGCAAGGCCAGAGAGAGAGAGAGTGTGTAAAGTAGGTATATGGGGATTCTATGATCAAGAGGGAATTTATATAGTGCTGTCTACAGGAAAAAATAAAAAAAAGCGAACCAGATATCCAAGTTGCACAGTAGCAGACAGAGAGACAGAGAGGTGACAAAAGGAAGAGAAGACTGAGAAGGGTTTGCTTTACTTTTGCTTTTGCTTTGTTGGGGATTTCTTTATCTGGTTCTGCAATCTCAACGCGCAAGCTTGAAAATTGAAAATGGCTTTCAAACCCCACACGCGACCGATTGTGAACCTGGTGCTCTGTGCTGTGTCCACTGTGGCCCCCTAATCCTCAAGCTTTCTTGAGAGAGAGAGAGAGAGAGAGAGAGAGAGAGAGATTCTTGATGGTGGAAATGGATCTAGTTAAGGAGTTGGTTTCGAGACTCTAGCAGCCTAAGAATAAGAACAGTGTCTAGGAGTGTTGGCGGAATCTCAATTCTTTTGAATCTACGTTTGAATTTTTTATTTTTTTTTGATGCGCGAAAAATGGGTCGGGGGTAAAAGAAAATGTCAAGTGACCACTTTAATAGGTATTTATTGGTGGGATCATGAGGTCACTAAATGTGTGCATTACTCATCTCGAAAATAAACTTAGCTAGGTTAGCTTTGTAGTTAATTACCGAGTTTCAATGTAGATTTTAAAAAGGTAAATTGTAAAAGGTACACCAAATTAAACTTATTTGGTAAAAAGTACACACTAAAAAATATAAAGTTATTAAGTACTTAATTTTGATATTTATTTATATTCAAGTACATAATTTGAATTTATTTATTTTTATTGTGACATTTTTACCTTCTATTAATTCATGTATATTTAATGCACCACTTTTCTTTGGAAAGTGGTGCATTAAATATCTCATAGTTTTATAGGAGAACTTTAATATATATATGTATATTTGTATATACATGTTATTAAATTTCATATCTAAATTTTGAAATATTTTTTAATGTATATTGATTCATGTGTTTTTTTTTTTAGAAAATGGTTTTATTTTCAAATTAATTTAATATCTAAATAATGTAATAGTGTAACAATAACAGTGCAACAATAAAAGTGTAACAGTGTAACACTAACAATATAACAGTATAACAATAATAGTATAACAAGTTATTTACACAAAATATTGTACTATTACATTTTATCAAACATATAGTTTCATATAATTTTATTCAAAATAGCTCATCTCCGTTTTGAATTTGTTACCATATACACAAAACTATTGTTACAGTATATTTGTTACACTGTCTTTGTTATAGTGTTTTTGTTATACTGTTATTGTTATACTATTATATTATTCAGATATTAAATTAATTTAAAAAAAAACTATTTTCAAAAATAAAACGCTTGAATCAAGGTGCATTAAATATAATTTGAAAATAAAATCACTTTTCAAAAAAAAAAAATACTCATGAATGAAGGTGTATTAAAGATAATTCAAAATTTAAATAAAAGATTTAACAACAAATATATATATATATTATAACAAATACACATGAATCAAGGTGCATTAAAAATAAAAGATTTTGAATTAAATAACCCTAAAATGAGCATTTATGTCTTTTTAACTCACATTTTGTTCTATGTACTTTTTGTCAAATAAGTCTAATTAAGTGTACTGACTTCCAAAGAACACATTTTAAAACTTGAATCTCTAATTTTTGGGTGAGAAGTTTGACTGATATCTCGTTGGATCACCCCACTCATTGGTAATCTAAATTTGAATCTAATTAAAAAATTTTGAACACCGCTCACTCCTCACCCGTGAGCTTATTTCGAACGCTGAAGTTCATGTTTGTGCTAAGAATTGAGCAATCATAGTTTATATTCGAATTTATTTGAAATCGAAAAATCAATCCTAAATAACTCAAGTTACTGAATTTCAACAAAAATCACATTTGAATTGTAACTTAATTTCTTAAAAAGAATTCCTCCATTTCCACATGTACTTAGTAACATATATTTATATGTAATTTGGATCGCTTATTGATATATCTAAATTTGTTTCTATGAAATATAATATAAAGGATTTGAATTATGGGTAAAAAAATCAATTAATAAATTGGATTTCGGATTTAAATTGATAGGTCTATTGGAATGTTTGGCTGTCTGCACACTAGGACTATGGAACTTCGATTACTGACCATTCCCAATCCAAACACTTTACTAATTGAAAGTAGATCATTCCAGAAGAAAAAAATTACCAACAAAAAAAAAAGATTAATAATAAAGTTGAATGAGGTAAGAACAAAGGTGCCTTGTGATTGGCTTTTGAAAAAATGTAGAGGTATGTTGTGCTTTGTGTTGAATAAAAGTCATGGATATTCTTAGGCTAAGGGTCGCCCCCCTTTACCCCCGGTGGCTCTCCTAGAAGTCCAGTGGTACATCGGACCATGGGTCGTCCAGGCCCATCAATTAGAAGACCATGGACATTTCATTACTCTGGTGGGTAAAGTCATCGGCTGCATTTTTGTCTGGCTTCACAACCTGGAATGGTCACCGTTTAAGGCCCACAAAAACTATCATGTAAGTTGCTAAAATAACCTTTATACCTCTGATCTCCTCCTTCCCTAGCAAACCTTTTCCATTGATATTCTCTCTGCCACCCTCTCCTAAAACTCAACACTATTCGCTCAACAGAAAAACAAATCAAGTCTCTATGTCTCTTTTCCTTCCTCTTCTTTGTAGCAAACACCATTGTCTTAATTCAACATATAATTCAGTAGAAAAATTGTCAAAAATTTCAATAGAAATTTTCAACTACATTTTTCAGAAACTTGCGACAGAAAATTTCAGAATTTATAATTTTTTAAGAAAATTGACAGTAAAAAAATTTACTATGACTTCAAAGTGAATTTTAGTGGGCATGCTTCAAAGTGGTTCACAAATTGGTTCGGACCAAATCGAATCAAAATCAATTAAAATTGGAGTTGCACTATAATTGCAAACAAAAAAAAAAAGAATTGAACAAAAATGCCAAACTATACGAGAAGGGCAGTAAGATTTGAAGGATTGGTATTAGGGGGGGAGAGAGATGAATTGATGGTGTTCGAAATTGTTATACCCAATTGCAGAACAACTACTATGTGAGGGCCAATGGGGGCTTTATGAATGCTTGGGTTAATGGGGAAATGAGTGTTATGTTGGATCAAAGAACAAAATATAAGTTGTTTACTTCAGTCGAAAGACTAAATCTACGTCCACTATAATAGAGGTTCTTGCTCCTTAGGGGTTGGTATTATTTCAAGAAGAAGACAGCGGTGGGTACAATAAGTTTCTTGGCTGAGAGCTTTTTTTACACAGTTTTCTGTAAATAAAATTTTGGAACTCTCTTTTACAGTGTTTTTGTCTTAAATTTTTACATGTGGCCATTTAGGGTTTTTATGATTCTTCATTTTCTTTCTATGGTCCCTTCTTCATTTCTCTTGTAGCGGGGTTTGTTACCCTAACGCATTTTGTGCGCACAATCCTCAAAACGTAATGCATATAAAGGGAATATTTGTTTGTTAGGGTCATCAAAGGTTGTCCCCCTAGACACGTGGCGCAACGGGAGCTGCTTGGGATCTATCCTGTACCGAGCTCCTAGTTTTTGAGCTTATTGATTCTGCCATGCTTGAGACGACTGAGTAGACATATGCCAAGTTGGATGGCCCTGGACTTCATGCCTTGGGTTGTGGCCCATTTTCATGATGAAGCTAGCGGGCTGCAGATGGGTCGTTAAGGTTGCTCTTCAAGAGGGCCTGTTGGAAGTTTTGTACCCCAAATGGGTGGCCCAAGCCTAAGCTTAAATCGACCATTATCAATTGCTCCTTAGCCCTGGTCAGGAGGATCACTTTCTAATTCTGACATGGGGTTAAACATATCTTTTTTTGTTGTTATGATGATTGCCTACGTAGGTGGTTATTTTTTAGATTGTTGGCACTGCCTTAAGGTCATGTTTAGTTTTTCTAGGCCAATTTTGACGGGAAAGACGTGATAAGGGGGGACACGCGTCATTCAGAGAGTGATCCCCTGTTATATTTCCTCTGCACGTTTTTCCCCATGTCTCATCGTGGTAATAAATGCTATGTATATAAAGAGGGAAAAACTTCTTACCTTTTTACTAGCATTTTAAATTCCTATCTCCTCGCATTTCTTCTTCCTTTTTTTGAGTTTTGAGGTGGTCGTTTCAAGTTCTTGCTAGTTCATGAGTTTTGTGTTTCCTACCTTTTTGCGGTTCCATCTTAGCTCTTGATTAGGTATGTTTTTTCCTTTGATCTAGATCTCTTTAACCTTACTTGGTGGGGTTATGGGTTTCGCTTCATTATTTGGAGGTTTAGTTATTTCCAAAATCATTCTGGTAGTTTTGTTTTCCTTTCACAATTTGTAGATTACCCCCTCTTACTTAGGTTGTCCTTGCTTAGAGCTTGGTGTTTGGTTCTCCTGTTCTTGATTGATTGTTTTTTGCATTAGCCCCCCTTACATTCTGATTTACAGTTTAGACTGCTAATGGGGAGGGTAGTTTCTGAGTCCTCTTCCGATTCTGAGTTTGGGGAGAAGGGTGATGAGGGTGTCGATGAAGTCTTTATTGCTTCCTCTAGTGGCTATTCTGAGAAGACGGTACCCTCTCCCCCAGATGTGGAGGAGGTCCTCACAACTGATGATACATTGGTCAAGGATGACCAATTTTCCCTGTCCCTTGTAGAAAACTTTGAATTCCTTCCTAGGAAGCTGACTGCAGAGGGTTTGGGGCCAGCTCTCGAGGCTTTAACCTTGGGCCACTCTGTGGAGGCTTCTTTAGCGTTGTCCCCATTCCTTTAAGTCGTTCTAAGAAGAAGAGGTCCAAGGGCGCTTCAACTTCCACCCCCAAGAAGAAAAAGGTTCGTTGAGACTTTTCTGACCTTACTTGTTGTGCTGAGTCAACCTCGAGCCATCTCGATGAAGACGATTTGGAGGCTTTGAGGGAAAAGTAATCCTT